ACCTCTATTATGGGGTTATATGCAAACAAATAACTAATAACGATACCTAAATTCCTGAGGTAATATTTAAACGATTATTATTTTATTGTTGCAGTATCGTGAATATAAAGTATACGTTCTATTTTTAAAATAAACTGTTGTAATTATCAATTTAAATGCACATTGTATACACGCATTGTCATAATAGACTTTTTAATTTGTAGCAAGCACTTAATAAGTAAGTTGTATTCATTCATATTATTAATATTTTTAAGAACACTGAGAAACAACAAAAACCATTGACCTAACCGTCAACCTCTAATTTTTAAGTTTTAACATATTAATGTTATTGTTATGTCGACCTTAACTCAACGTTAAAATCAATTTTAATACGCGCATGAACAAATCGCGAATTTCGTTACTTTTGTTTTCTTGTCGACTCAGCATCGTATGAGTGTAATATTTTGTTTTAATCACAGATATGTGGTTATGATAGACAAAATTATATAGCTGACAATATGGTGTATATGTTACAGGCCTAACCCGATTCAGGATAAACTAGTTATTTATCCTGAAACTAAAATTCACATTTCAGGATTAACTAGCATAACCTAGACTAAATTGATTAAGACTGTCAATATCAATACATTATATTAAGATATAAGACGTTTATAATTATTATTGATCATTTTAATCGTATTTTTATCATTAATCACAATTATTGTGATAATAATATATAATATTATTATTTCACTATATTTACTACATCGGTTATCATAGTGTATACCATAACAGTAGGCACACCTATATCCATTATTTTATATTATGATATTTATATTATCAATATTGACAGTATCAATCAGTTTAGGTTGGGTTATACTAGTTCGTCCTGAAATATAAGCTAGTTCATCCTGAAATTGGGTTTGACCTGTGTAATGATTTTGTCACCGCCCGCACAAACAAGATGAACTCACGCATGCGCCGTAAACATATGTGAACCATAGATGTCGGTACAGCGAAATACCGGGTGATATACGCATTGGCTATGTACCAAGATGGTAAATTTATTGTATTGATTAACCTTTGTCATATTAATTTGTGTCATGAATTATGAAATAATATGAAAAACATTTAAATTCCCACGAAGATGGCAGAAAATGATTTCATCAAATGTTGCAATGTTATTTTAATGCAACATATATTTGTACCTAATAACTAACAATCGAGTGTATTATAAATTATATATTATTTGTCGGAATAAATCACAAATTGTTTCCATATCATCATGTAGATGACATAGATATGGACATGGCAGATATGATATAGATAGAGTAGATTGTTACAATTAATCCACTTTGTTTATGACTTCATACCTCTTTTGTTTTTACTTTATAAACCGATAGTAGTTGACCATCTGTGTTAATAATACTTGGTACTCCACTATTATCATCATTTAATAACTTCATACCACTTATAAGATTCTGACATACTGCAGGCTATCTAATTGTTTTATATATCTGTGGTTATAAATATATAACATGTTTAAGTATATACTTACTATATTTGTTAAGCTTAGTAACGGTAATTCGTGCGTTTATCGACACAATATTTACCGGTTTGTGGTAATATAACGAATATACCTATATGAAAACCGCTAAATTTATTTTTCAAGTATCTGATTTCAGGTCATCATCTATTATATAGTAAACGAAAGTAACAATAATAATTTATTGTCTTAAGTAACGAAACACGGGAATCAGCGCACAGAAGTGATTAAGATGAAGATCGTCTTACATTACACCATTAGAATACTTAGATAATATTTTGCATAGGTACTATTTTGTTATTCTGTTATACAGAAAACCTACAATGTTTCAAATTTACAGTAACTGTTCGAAATTTATCACGGTTGTTGTAATAATATTTTCGGCCTAACGAAATTTTAAATAATATCTCTAGTGTCTCTAAAACGATAAATATAATGTAACAATGACAGGCGTTATTTGCAATATGATAAAACAAAAATAATTATAATAATCATGTGTTTTAAGTGGGAAAACTTTTATATTTACCTGAAAATTATGGACGTTTCTGAAAATGAATTGAATCCAACCTAACTTCCAGGAAACACATCATAAAGACAAAATTTTCAAAATGTTTTTTTCCCGCACACATTTGTTCATACGAATTTTTTGTTAACAAGGTTTCAAAAAACTGTACCTCATTCCCTTCCTCGAAAAAAGTCGCAATATTTTTCCTACAAATATACCTGGTAAGTAAAAATAAATTAAAATAAAATATGATTATGTACAATCCAATTGTTACTAAAGAATTTATAAGAAATATGAGAATTAAGAATTATAGAGCTATAGAATTAGAGTTATTTCGATAGTTTAATATTTTTATAATCTGCAGATAAATATATGTAATTTAATATTAACCGTCATTAACAGATAAATTAACCACATGTTACAGTGATTACACTGAATAAAACTAATAAATCATTATTTAGTCGTTGTTTTCACAAACATTATAACTATTTTGTATTTAAATGTGTTAAGTGACGATGCCGGTGAATTTATAACGATTTACACAAATAAATTTAAATTTAAAAATATACTAGTTACCTAACAGAAATTTTGACAGTAACATTGATTACAAAAATATGGAAATAAATCTGTAATAATTACCGAACCAAAATCTGACCTGTAAATTGCAGGTCCTATACAACAGATAAATTGTTTATAGTTCATACTGTAGGGTGTTCTATAGCAACACACGTTGTTATTTACAGTACGGATGTAAGTGAACTGTAATTACTCTGGGTATGTCACTAAAAACCGTTTATATAGGTTTTTAACAGTTTTTACTACACGACAATAATAGCAAAACAAAACGAAAAATTGAAATTAACGAACGTTAACTTTATCACTTTTTACAAATTTACACGGACGAGTTAATATGATTCATTAATTTTCTCAGCCATGAACAATATTGCATTAAACGAGCGTACGGCCAAAAAACCGGGTAGGTAGTTACCAAATTCGTAAGTTGGAACATGCGTAATAATTACTACGTTATAGATACCCAGGTACCCGGGCTCACGTGTTTCCAGTTCTCTTCGATGTTGTATACTCTCTCGTTCACGGTATTTTAATGTTCCAAAGTGTTTCGGAAGTCAGTCGAGCTTGTTTTGTACACTGTTATTATCATGCTGACGGCTGCTCTGTATCTTATATACCTATATCCGTTTTTACAAACCTCGCGGTGTAAACATAAACTTCTCGTGGAGCAGCCGATCGTGTCCGCGGGGAATATTCACCGTCGGTGGCGGTCGGTTTTGAGGCGAGAACTTCGCGAAGAACAAACGGAAATGGTTTTTTTTTCACAACTCAAAACCGTGTAGGTACCGAACTCGAGTTATATGTATAGGTAATATGATAATAATATATATACAGTATAGTGAGTCGACTGTTCCGCTGTGACCGACTAAACGCACTCTTACTTATAACAAAAATTAAACAACTATTTTAATTTGTACCTACCGGATAGGTTATGTACGCCAAAATGTATGATCTTTTAAGGAATTTTAATATTTTTGCTGTAATTCGGTTATAAATACAAGTAAAGATTCAAAACTTGGTAATAATACTTATATTGGACTTATTTAGATGAAGTAAAATTTCCAAAATTATCGGACGATGTTTTTTTTTTTTATAAGTATTTTGTAATCATATTTAAACGAAAATCCCAAAATAATTACGGTACTTCAAATTATGTATTACCTAACCGCACTCGGAATCTATTTTGGTCAAGTAAATGGTTCATCGTTGCTTACAGATATAAATAAAATAACCTTATGTATCCTACCTTCCCAACTTCTCACCTATAACAGTGGCCGCTCCCATCCCCAGTATCATCTCTTTTTATTCTTCTTCTTCTTCTTCTTCTTTCTTGGTTTCGGCCATTCAAGACCATACCTCTATATAAACATACTGCCACCCATCTCTTTTTATTAGTTTTATTATACATTGTAATTTATACATATTTCAAATATGTACTCCACACAAACAAATTCTGAGTCAAAAAGGTAAATAAAGATTTTAAAAAAACCGGTAATAATAAAATAAAATACAATTATTTGTTAAAAGATATACCCAGACATATACCTATTCTACTTGTATTCCATTTTTTATTAAACTATGGTAACTATGGTAATATGAAAAAAAAACATGGAATAAAATTTATCCTACATCACAAAATTTGAAAGTTGGTCACTCCAAACCATTCGCACTTGATTACAGAACTAAAATAATGGTTTTGGACTGACAACTAATCATAAAGGTTTGATTTACAAAAAAACCTAGTGTTCGTTGGACTGGACTTAATTTCCCTCTTTAAACTCCACGGAACAAATTATAATGAAAATCACGAACATACAACTCTACGATAGTGTCATTGATAACAATTTATTTTATTATAATATAAAGGTATGCATTTGACATTAAAACAATGTGCTTTTGTCGTTTTCTAATCGAACATTTTTGTAGGATCTGTGACTGACGGCTTTTAGTTTTTTTTTTTTTAGTGGAATGCGTAATGTACCTACAGTTGATTTATCAATAATACTTAACGTGCGCTTACGAATTTCGTGTACGGCGACGAACCGTCTAAAATCACGTTATCTTCGTGTTAACGGTAAAACAAGAGAAAGAAATAATAAAGGTAAATCAATCGTACTAGATAATAGATTTATTTTTGTACTTTGTACACCTAATTTAAAAACGAATTGCAAAAATCGATGAACTTTCCAGAGTCCAGAGTCTAAAGCGAACCACTGGAAGATTAGATGATATCAATCGATTTACGATTTTATTATATTATGATTTATTTATTAATTTATATAGACTAGGCCCTTTGGAAATACAGAAACGTATAACAGACCGAATAATAATATACTAACAATTAATAATAAAGAATATAATACTTATGAAAAATATACCTACACTAATTAATATTTAAAGGGTTAAATATTACCAACAACTAACAAACGTCTAATAGTTTCAGTTTTCACATGACTACGTGTAAACTCCTACAAAAATGACCTTTTTAAATGTATTTAAAACTAAGTGTAAACTCCTACATAATCCCTTTTTACCTGCCAAAAATAGATGGTGTAATCTCTTACACAGACCTTTTTACATTTTAAATCCTGAGTGTAGTGAGGGATGCATATTGGTTTTACAATGATGTTTATTTGAGATTGTACTTAAGTGAGGAAAATCTTACTATTTTACGATTTCGTTATTTTAAATAAACACGCACGACGTTTTATACCAGACATAGTTATCTAATGGAAAAATTATAAGAGATATTTTTTCTTTAAATATTAGCAGAAACTTACGAATGTAAGATAATAAAGTGTAAAATATAATTCGGTATACATATTAATGTAAGGCAGCGTATTGGAAATTTTCGAACATTTCGATAATGAATACGTTATTTCCGTAAATTGGAAATACCTCTTATTTTTGTAGTTTATGACTAAATTTATTTATTTTAATAAATAGAAAAAAATTTTTTATTATAATATTTTTGGTTAATATTGAATCTAAAAAGGACAAAGCAAAATTAGTGACAGAATAAGAAGAATTGAATTGGGAAGGGTAAGTTAATTTGTCTAAATATTCTTTGAGTGTATTGATGTCCATCGAAAATATTTTTCTAAAAAATAATATGTAAAATAAACACACTAAAGTTTCACGAGATTTAATTGTCTATAATCTATTCCTATGACCCTCATTACTTTGTAAATAATTGTAATATTATATTTTGTACCTAATTATTTATAGCTATACCTGATAATTGAAAAAAAAGTTGCGAAGCCGATCGAATTGTCTTTTGGTACCTATATGAAACGATACTTTTTAAATTAAAAATTATCCTTATAATGTAAATCGCAATTTCTTTTAACTAAAGACGTGTTTTGTTCATATAATAAATATTATATTAATTCAATGAAATCGATCGCTTTCATAGTACATTAGTACATACGTGCTATAATGGCATACAGTCGTGATACATTTTTATTTTATTTTTTTTAAAGAACATCAAAGCGTTTTTTGAGTTTGTACTCGAAATACTCAATAAGGAAGGAAAACAAAAGACTAGAGACGTGCATTTTGCCGACAATAGAACTATAGTACTCTCAACAATACTATATTATGATAAAACATCTTATCTGAATGTGGTGTAATGTATAAAAAGAAACTTAGTCGGAAATTTCGATTTAAAATCTGAGCTGAAAGAAGAATCTATTAGTTTAATATGTTCTGGTGTGACCTTTTTTGGATTCTGTGTGCAATAATTGGTTTTGCTATGAAGTGTTTTTGTTCACATATAAATGACTTTTTTACTAGAAATCGTGCTTTGATCACCGACTTTAGGGATAATTTTTGGTACCAAATTTTATCTTGTTCGTATAGTGGAAAGGTAATATTTAAATGTAGTTGTATTGATAATTAGAAACAACCTGGAGAAAAGTAAGAAAAGCTGAAAACTTTATAATAATAACAGTTTCTTTATTTTCAATTTTTTTCTTAGTTATAACTGTAAGAACCCCGCAGAACACTGTAACGTTGACATTTTCTATAAGTGATATGGTTATTTTTAAAACATTAAACTATTTATATACATTTCTTTTAGTTTTTATGTGTATAAAATTATCTAAACTAGCCAAAATGTTTGAACATTTAACACAAAGTTCGTTATAGTTCGTAATTAGTAGTTAAAAGTTAATAATATGTGTTATGTATTAGTTTAATTTTTTTGTAAGCAATTGAAGTTCACATTTTAATGGAAATCGTAAAAATCATGGCATTTCAAAATATTTATACCCGAACTTCGCAGTTAGAAGCGTATTTCGTTATCAGAGAATTATCGTCGCATACTCGCATATAAATATATACAGTAATGCAGTAATGTATAACAGCACAGTATACTGTGTAAATTACCGCATATATCTTGTGTATCTTACAGACTTTTTTTTACAGACTTGTAACATCTTAAGAATATATACTCGGTATTTATCTATTTAAAATATCGGATACTTATTAATTATTACAATACCGTATTAATTCTTCATACATTCGTTTGTTTTACCGGTTACAAAGACAATCGAAAAAATCGATTTTATGGCATGCATAAACGGTAGATAGTGGTTACGCACAATCGGCGTTTTCATTATATCTTCATGTGTATTATAATGTTGTATTATTTACCAAATATTTAGGGGAATCGCACGCCCTTTGTATTCGTAGCACTAACTTTTCAAACCTGCATCGGTTTAATATGATTAACGAAAACGTTAATATTATAATCTGTACATGATGTTATTATAATAATAAACGGGGGAATTATAATCTTATACACAAGAGGTACACAGAAGACGGAAACGATACATAAGAAACGAGAATTCGGGCGCTTAATATATTTTGTATGAACGATACATGCTGAGTGTGACAAAAAAAGCTTAGTTTTTTTTGTTCGTAGTATACAAATTCACCAAAGTTTTCATTTAGTAAACGCTAGATACACTAAAACATGCAAATATTCCGGGTGATGGTAATTTAAAAATTTTAAAACTTTCAACAATTCACCTTGTAGACCTTCTTTTTGGCGGGGGGGGGGATAATACAAATTTTTTAAATCGTTTACACCGTACATAAAAAGATGTCAGTGCTACATACCTTGTTTGAAAAATCGCCTAGATTTCCAACAGTTTTCTAAAGAATTTAAAAAACTGAACACAAATAATGATGACAGGTCGTTTAAAAAAAAAAAAAAAATTATTTCTGGGTTATTACCTTAATTACAAGGGGAAAAACACGAATAATAGTTTAAATAGTTATCTTATATCTTACCAGTACACCGAACTCTCGATTGCAATGATTTATCGTTGCTTTTTGTATAAAATAAATTACCCCTATATATCATGTCCTACACCTTTCAGAACTCCTCTACCTATACATAGAGGATATATGAAGGCTTTTTATTATTTCTGAATAGGTTTTTTTTTATACATTTTAAATCGAAAGTCAACGTCATATAAAGTCAACATTTTATAAATATTTTAATTTTTAACTCGTCCAATAATAATAATAGTAAGATCTGATGCTGCTGATGGGTGCCCCACTGTCTGTAGATGTGAAATTGAGAAGATAAGATACATAAATGTCAGCATTTTTTGAAAATTTTACCATGTCTAGAAAAGGCCATATAAGTATTCTGTGAAAATGTCAATTATCTACGGAATTATAACAAAAACCAAAATCGAAAATAATGCCACCGTTATTTTAGTAAGCTTTATCGGTTTTTCCAGATTATAAAAAAGATTACAAGAAAATCAAAACAATTTGATCCTGCACAAACTAGATTCCAAATGCTATAAGACAATTTTTTTATCATTTTTTGATTGATCGATTTTGATAAAAAAAAGTTGATGTACATTCTGACTAAATAAGTACAGGATAATCCATTTAAATGGGTACACTCATATCTCGGTGAGTATTAACATTTTTCGGAATTTATCTTATAGAAAATTTTAGAAACAAGCAGCTCTACAGTTTTACATTTATTTTATTTTTTGATTAACCCTTATTTTTGTGGGTAAAACTACTACCTACTTTTGATTTTTAAATAGCTTATAGATTAAGCTATTTAAGCTATATTTATAGCTAATAGATTTTTAAATTTAATCTATATTAAAAATGTCATAAATAGGTCGTGTATTAGTTAAAATAAATTCTAGTGTTGACATTTTCGATTTCCGTCATTCCGTTGAGGTATTCCATTTTTAAGTTTGGATCGGGAAAGAGTAGTGGTGCATTATTAAAACGTTGCGCGTCGTACCGCCACGCACATGATACTGTGACAAAAAATAACATAAATATAAAACTGTAGGGCTGCTTGTTTCTTAAATATTCTACAAAACAAATTCTGAAAAACGTTAATACGTTTCGAGATAATGAATAATTTATAATACAATATTAATATATATTATGTGCATAGCAGCAATTCCCTAAACATATTGTTTTCTCATACAGATTCCACAAAAGCTGGCAACATTATTTCACGCTCTCCTTGTCTCTACTCTAAATAAGAAAGAAAATTAATAACTGGAATATGTTTGGAAAATTGGCCAATGAGTTTTTTTTAAATTTTGTTACGATTCCGCGTACTCTAAAGCTAGGAAAACGCCGCAAAATCATGTTGCTAATTTTTTTCTCGGCATTAACTATAACAATTAACACTGCGGATCGATATGGAACGGCTGGGAAATGTTTTAAAGGATGAACTGTTATGTAAATGTAAGAAAAACAATATTTGTTTGTTGATAAAAATAATTCTATACTTGTATTTTTAAAACTTTTATAGATGTTCGATAAGTGTAATATTTCGAATCTGATGTGTAGTTATACCGATATTTTTACTTTTTATGAGACCAAAATTAAATAGAATACTATAATTTAAAAACTAAAATACAGATACTACTAATGGGTGAGTTACTTTTAAAGAGGAGAAGTTAGAAAGGTAGAATATACAAAGTTATTTAATTTATATCTAAAAGCAACGAACCATCGCTAACGAAAAACGATTCTGAGCCAAGTTCAGTTATATTATCTATTACACGCAAACATAAAATGTCTGAATATAACTTAAAAATTGAATATTTGACCATGTCTATGAAAGGATAGGTTTTCTGTCCTAATTGAATATCTCTGCCAATATTTTAGACTGAATTACAATAAAAGGCTAACAAAAAAGGGATATTGTCGTTTTTCTATTTGAGTAATATTTTCGGTAGAAAACATAAAGCGTACAAATTTAAAACAGTGAAATAATTACACCGTAAATTTATTATTTTTTATTTCACGTGATTTTCTGATTTTTCTCAATTTATTTTAAAAACGTTTTATAAATGAAAACCGACTTAATAACACACTAATTAGATCCAAAATACAAAAAAAAGTCTCATATAATTTTTTGTTTAAAACAAAATTTTTGATAGAAAAATTGTTCACACACACACACACACACACACGCATACACTACAAAATATATTGCAGTAAAAACAAAAACCGATTAGATCCCTTGCTACGCTCAGAATCTAAAAAACAAGTCAGTACAAAAAAGGTTTCTATAAATTCAAAACTCTAAAGAATATCGTATTGCCAGATACCATGCGAATGATTTACTGTGCATTTGCTCAACCAATTTTCAGTCATGGAATTTCTGCTTGGGGCGGAACCTATAGAACACATTTGAAAAAACTTACATCGACGATAAATTCACTCCTTTGGATAGCCCTCCAGCTGCCATAACGTACTTATACTGATTTTCTTATAAAACCTATAATTTATTCAATCTCAAACAGTTGTATGTAAAAGAAGTTTTATACAATTTGTACTGCTATAATCATAAATAATTAAGCTTTACAAACATAATAATTATTGCTCACGAGCATAGTACTCGTTGAATTCAAATTACGCTTTTAGATTGTTTAAATATAATAGTGAATTATTATATGTATATGTATTAGGTATAATAAAGTAAATATCGGCCTATATTACTGTAATAACCAGATCGCTGTTGTTGTTGGGAATTTGGGAATAAGTATAGGAATCAGAGTAGTTTATAAACCAAAAACAACGATAAATCATTGCAATGAAAAAAGTACTCTGACACTTTTATCCTTATACCCGAAGCAACCCAGAATTATTTTTTTTAGATGAATGTTTCAAATAAATTATCTTTTTTATATTTAAGAAATAAAATAACTTAATAGAATATAATGTCGGTTGAGTTAGATACGATAAAAACGAAGGTTCGAGTCGTTTTTATTAACCTAAAAAAATATTTCCCAAAGCAGGGAGGAATTCGTTAATCCGCGTGTTAAAGGTATAGAATAAAAACAACCGGAGTGTTTTTATTATACAAAAAAGTGTTTTTTGAAGAAAATAAAACACACTTTGGTATAATTTGTATAGCATTTCTGCTACACTAGGAAACTAGAATATTATACACTGACTATTAACGATGGTGATGGTTGTAATATGCAGTACATTTTTTTTCTTTACTTATTACACATTCATATTTCTTTTATAATATGTTTTTGTATATTGGGGGCATTTTTTAAATTTATAATATACTTATGTCATGTATATATAATCTATATAGGTACCGTTCTACTTACTTAATAATAATTAAAGTGCTTCCGCGCATTATTCGCTGTAGTGGTATTACGTGTAACAAAATATATGAAAGGTATCATTTTTGTCTGTTTAATTGAAAATTATATTTTAAACTTTCGAAAAACAGATTTTTCGTTGTTCGCGTACAAATTAAAATACCCGTGAGCAGCAGAGCTCAGTCACTGGAGCCGATTTTTCTCTCAAATATTCTGTATAACAGAAATATTCTTTATACATAACATAAATAACTGAATAATATAATAATGCAAAAAAAAAAAAAAAACTGTGAAATTTTGTCATAAAAATGGCGAGGAGCTGAAAAATGTAATCCCCTAAGAGGCATTTCGTTCTCACTAACGCCATTCATGTACAAAATGTCATTTTTCTAGTTTCATTTACGGGGCGGGAGGGTTTGTAGGATTACAAAACTAAAAAAAACACACTGCGTCCGTAACAACATGGGTAAATTCATATTTGAACTGAATCAAATTTTTATTTCTTCAATCCGCCTACAAAATAACTATAATTTACGAGTTTGAGCTTTATGGGTCTAGAAGGAGCAACTAGAAATGTCCAAAACAGTGGAAAGATAAATACATATATATATGCACAATACAATGCATTAATATCTATTTTCGGCGAAAATTCGATACACATATTATACGCCATTACGCACTTTCTATAATTTATCGTAGTTGTCTGCTAAAATAAATTATTTTACACCAATTATGAAACAAAAATCGCATTCATGTTTTGATTGCAATTATAAAATGCTTAGCATTATGAAATATATTATAACACTATTATGTTTCGAAACATCGAATCGGTTAAATGGAAAGAAAAACGATCGTGAATCATGATCGATCACGTTTGAAAAAATATGGGACGAAAAAAGTCGTTAGGCGGCTCAATGGGACAACAAGAATTACCAATTATACATTGCTACAATACGAGTACCTACTTAAGTTTTCTGCGCATGGCATTTTTAATTTTTATATTTTTTTTTTTTTTTTTAAGTCTGGCAGTATAATAATTACTTTTTTTTTTTATGGTTCCTAGGTACAAACCACTTCATAAGAAAACAACAAAAACAATTTCGTTATTTTATCTTACACAACGGAAGGCATACTCGTGCGTTATTACAACCCGAATAAAATTAAAAACTGTATATTATACTGTCTAGCTAACGTTAAAACAATAGCAGTATTGTTATACAAAATATTCTTCTAAAATACATTGGTCCTACGACGCAATAGAATTGTATCACTCTGTATTTTACCACTATATGTTAATATAATTCCTATGACCTCTTTTTCGGTTAGTATAAATCCTGCAAAACTTTCACGCCGTCCCCTAACAAAAGATATGTGGAAATTCGTGATACACGTACTTATTTATTTAGGGAAATATTTTCTCGGCAGTTTTTCTAAAAACTTGAAAATATAACCGACAACATCAAATGACGTACATCTTTAGACATGTTGTATATTATAACTTTTGATAATAATTATTGCAACTTTGAAAAAAAAAAAAATGAACCGACATAAAAAACCAAATCACAAAACTGTTATAGAGAAATTCGTCCATCACCGTGTGTTTTGTTCAAACATCAAAATATTCCTGTAAATATTTGTAATCAATAAATCAGGCGTCAGCCACGACCAACAGAATATCTTTTGCTTCTAAAAATGAATGATCGAATGAATAATAATTCTCTGTTGAAAGTCATACTAAATCGATTAGAAGTTTTCGACGATGTCATCAATTAAATCTCAAGAAAAAAATAACGTCTAATGAATAATGAAGATTAGTCAGAAGAACACTGACTATAGATATTGTAATAAAAACTATAACTACAAAATATATTATAAAGTTACATAGTTATGTATTACAATACATCTTAAGACTTTAAAAAATATATTATTATTTAAAGTATAGTAATAACTTTACACTTGAATAACGTCTGTCTTTACTCTTGCTTATGTAAAAATATATTTTTTAGTCCCTTATTTGAGATTCCTAGATCCTTGTTTGTTTTTTTTTTTTTTTTTTTATAGCGTGTTCCACTCAGAACAATCGATGAAGTTTTGTTTTCGTCTCGTCTTCACGAAAATCTTTATTTTTACCGATTTATAATATTCTATTGTCGTTTTACTATTCATCATCCGGAGTTTGTTGGTTACTTAAAAAAGTAAAGTTACTTTTACTAAACTATGTACATATATTCACATTATTTTAGCGAAACGCGGTTAAGAAAATTATGGTCACAAAGTCCGATAATGTTTGCCGTGCAACAATGATTTAGGACGCGAAAGGGTGAGAGTGATAAACCCTTCCATCCCTTTTCTCCCCACTACAACCGATGCCATAGGCGGTAAATTCTCGGGGGATACAATCGGGAGGCGGTACTTCATAACATATAAGGTTAGGCAATGTTTCGCGTCCTACCACCCGAAGAAATATGACGAGACTCAACTATACACGGCACAAATATATTGAAATCGAAATAGCAAAAATAAATGGAAATAATAAATAAAAACTTTTTCATCATCTATGTATTGAAGATTTTTTTAACGGAATCGCCTAAATATGCAAATAGTTGGATTATCACTCCGCGCGTGATTAGGGTAGTAGGTAAAAAAAAAAAAATAACAATAATAAAAAAATACGTCGGCTACTCGACTCGATGCCGGCCTGGGTCACGTACCTCTGAACTCCACTTTGAACAATCTCTCGCCCGTGTACTTGGGCACTTTGCAACAATTGATCTTGACGATCAGGCGCATGATGGCGACTCGGTGACCGGGCGACACGCGGACAGTGCGGCCGCGACACGACGACTGGGGCGAGACTCGGCCGACTACGGGGCCGTCGCCGTCGTGCCCCCTGCCGACACCCGCCGTCACCCTAGGGCCGTCACGCAACAAGCGACCCGCGCGCGCGTTTACTTGTTGATTCCGCAAACGTCCTGCCGCAGTTATAACATTATATCCGGACGTCGCATCGTCGCCGTTACCGTGTCGCCCTCTCCCGGACTCGGCAAATGACATAATCTACGAGACTTCCGTCTACGGTGGTTCTCTCCGGTGGTCCATGAAGTGCCATATAATGGTTATCGGAGTTCGTTATATATAATTG